ATACACATGTTTAAAAAAATCAATCGATGTAAAATCAATAAATTAAAAACTAAATCGATAATTATTTAATAAATTAAAAATAAAAAAAATCAGATCGATAAATAATCAATAAATATGAACACAATTTTTTTTTTTTAACGTAAAAGAAACGCGAGTAATAATAATAATACCAACGTATTAACAATAATAGTAAACAATTACAAACATCGTGAAAATGTTTACAATACCAAATGCTGCCAACTTAAAAAAAAAAAAAAACACAATTTAAATAAACGCTAGTTTTACAAATAATAATAATATTGGTGAAAAATTTTTCTAATAATTAAAAACAAAAATTTTTGCGAAAATAATAATAACAATTATTATTAATATTTTATTCGTATTTTACCCCACCCCCTCACGGCCGCAACCCTCCCCTACAACCCCCCACCGAAAAAAAAAAAATAAACGTAAACCGAACGCGTATTTTTTTTTTTTTATCAAAAAAAATTTATTATCATTATTTTTTTTTGTTGTAGTAAATTTATTGTTTTAGTTTTTGTTTTTAAAAAAAAAGGCAGTTAATATAAAAAATTATTATTATTATTACTTTTTTCGAGAGAGAGAGAGAGAGAGAGAGAGAGAGATAGAAAAATGAAAACAAAAAACTTTTCCTGTCGGAATATATATATATAAAACATGATGTGATGATGTGAGGAAAATTGTTTCAAAAAAAAAAAAATGAAAACTTGAAAATTTATATTAATTACGTTGAAAAAATATCAGAGTGACATTTTTTCTTTTTCACTTTTCTTTTCTTTTTTTTTTTTCCTTCATCATCATCATCATCATTTTCTTTTTTTTTTTTTTTTTTTTGTAGTTTATAATTCAAATGCTGTCAGAAAATTATTTTCATTTTTTATTAACAATTAAAAAAATAAATAATTATTCAAATGAAAACAGTTACGAGGTTCCGGGTTTATACATCATCGATGAGTGTTGAAAAAAAAAAAAAAAAGGAAAGATAATTTAAAATGTAGTGAGATAAAGAAAAAATAATAATAATAATAATAATAATAATAATAATAAAAGTGTGCGAGTGCGAGTGCGAGTGAGTGTGTGCGACAAAAAGGGATTCGATCGATGAGGGGAAATCGATGTCGTCGAACGGATGGAACCTAAAGGAAATAAATTATTATTATTATTTATCACGTCGTCGACCGTTACGGAGTAGTAGTAGTAGTAGTAGTAGTACCTGTTTATTATCGGTCGTGGTTGCGAAACAACCGATAATTCCGATATGTGAAATAGTATCAGGCACCCGAAATGTTACGGGGACGTTATTGTCGGAATCATTTCATGTAAAAAAATGGATGTTTATAAGCTAGATCAATCGACTATCGGTTCGACTATCGGAAATGCTCCGCCGCCGGAAAAAATTCAGCCCCAAGTGACCTTCGATGCTGGGGCAGAATTTAACCTGAGCTTTTTTGACAATCCAGACGATCACGAAAGCACTCAAGGATTCAGCGATCCGGGTTCGGTGGGTTCGGTACCGGAACCATCACCTCCGCCACCTCCTACATCAACACAACCAACAACTCACCAACAGGGAACTTCGTCATCATCGAATTTAAATTTGGTACAACTTCAACCCCCGACATCGAGCAATAATTCAAAACAAGGTAGGAAATTATTACTATGCCATGACATCTTTTTTTTTTTTTTTTCATAACACCGCGTACCTGATTCCTGATGGGAATTACATTAACCACCGAACAACAACTCATCGAAAGTTTTTTTTTTTTTTAAAAACAAACGATAACATAATACCAACTTAAACTTTTTTTTTTGGTTTATTTACTCTATGACATTTCGTGACGTAATATTTATTTCTTAATCGAATAATCATTTTTTCGAAAATTTTTTTGTTTTTTTTTATTATTTAATTCGATAGGTCAAGTTTTTATTATTATTATTTTTTTTTTTCATTTCTAGAATATTCACGAATATATTTATATTTATTATTATTATTTCCCCCCCCCCCATTTTTACTTTCTTTCATTATTTATTTACCACCGGAAAACTTTGAAAAAAAAAGTAAAAGAGAAAAAAAAATAAAAATAAAATTTCTTTTTATATATATAAAATTTTCGGGAAAATTTTTTTTAAGAAATGGAAAAACTCGTCTGGGAAATCAAAAAGCAGACGCATGCTCAAAATACTTTAGTTACCCATTCGAGAAAAATCAATGAATTTACCTGAGAGAGTAACTAACAAAAAAAAAAAAAGAAAATTTTTTTTTTATCGTCAAAAATTTCATCTCTTTTTATCATCTCTCTCTCATACGTCACCTTCAATCATCATTTACTTTTTACAAGTACCATTTCAAAAAACGACTCTTTTCATCTTTTGAAATTTTCCAAAAAAACTTTTTTTCCTTTTCCAACGTTTTCCTCTTCCTCCTCCTCCTTCTCCTCCTTTCCCTTCTCCTCTTACTTTTCCTCCTCCTTTTCCTCCTCCTCCTCCTTTTCCTCCTCCTCCTCCTTTTCCTCCTCCTCCTCCTTTTCCTCCTCCTCCTCTTTTTCCACCTCCTTTTCCTCCTCCTTTTCCTCTTCCTTCTCCTCCTTCTCTTCCTCTTCCTCCTCTTGCTCCTCCTCCTCCTCCTGTTCTCTTTTCATCAACTCACGAACGATTTTTTTAACGCAAACTATTATATATATACAAACAATTTTCATTAACAACAACAACAAACATAAATAATAATAATAATATTACAATAAAAATAACAATGAATTTTTTTTTTTTTGTCTACATAATCAAATCTACTCGTTATTAAATAATATATATAAATAACGACGGACGGCCATTTTTATTATTACGTCATAAATAATTTACTACGTTAGTCAAAATCAAAATTGTAACTTTTTTTTTTTATTTTGTTTTTCAAATTTCAACCTGTCGAAAAAATTAAATTTTTTTTTTTTTATTTACAATTATTATTATTATTATTATTATTATCATTATTATCTTTTAACATTGCAAAACGTTTAAACAAACAAATAATTTAAAGGGTAAATAAATAAAATAAACATTAATTTATTTTAATTATTTTGTTTTTCTCCCACACCCCCCTCGATTCGATTCGATTTAACATTATTTGTTCGTATCGTGTTTAAAAGTTTGTCTTTCTCCTCCCCCCAAAAAAAAAGGATAACAAACAGAAAATGGGAAAGACAAAAAAAAAAAAAAAAAAAAAAAAAGGGAAACAAGGAAAAATGAAGAAAATCGGTTTTGCCATCAACACTTGTTGAAAGGGTTTTTTATATCGAAAAAAAAGGGTTTAAAAAAAAAAGATTATTTTGGCCAGAGTTAATTTGTTTGATTTGTGTGATTCTATGGTCAATTTAATTTAGAAAATCATTTGGGAAAACAAAAAATAATAATAATAATTATATGAAATTTTTTCTCTCATCTTCTTCCTTTCCTTTTTTAAAAAGTGTGAAAATAATTAATTTTTAAAATTATGGTAATAAAATTTTTAAAAAAAAATTTTTTTTTTCTTAAAATTTATGGTAATGAAAAACAATTACATAAACATTACGTAAATGAAAATTATTAATAATAATAATAATAATTAGCAATTGTAATGATGCGTACACGAAAAAAAAAAGGGGAAAAGAAGAAGAAAATTATTATTATTATTTGATTAGGTTTTCTATAAGTTTTTCATATGCGCAACTAGTTTATTATTATTTTGTTTTTCACTCGAAAAAAATTTTTATGTAAAATTTTTAAGTAATTATAAAATATGTTTTTTTTTTTTTTTTTATTTAAAAAAATTTAAATGACTTTAATAAATTATTTAATTTTAATTAATTATTTATAAATTTAAAAAAAAAAAATAATAATAATAAATTAAATTTAAATAAAAAATTTAATAAAAAAAAAAAAATATTTGTCGTCATAATCGTTAATATCAATAATAAATTCACGTGTAAAAATTTAATAATATAGAAAAAAATAAAAATTTTTCCGGTTTTCCCCCCCTTTTTTTTTTTTGACGGTCATTTTTTTTTACGTACGTACGTAGCAATAATAATAATAATAAAAAAAATAATAATAATAAAAACTAGTTTAAAGTAATATACAAATGACGTGGCAGGAGAAAAAATCGTCTCGATGTTATATGACTTACGACTTTAACGTGACGTACAAACAAGAAAATTAAATTAAAAAAAAAAAATTTTTTTTCCTTCTTCTTCTTCCTCCCTTTTTTCCTCCTTTTTCTTCTTCTTTCCCCTCCCCCTCGTTCCCCTTTTTTATGACGCCATTAAGTATTGTTTTTAATTTAATTTTTATTTTTATTATTTTTAATGTCGGTTTTATTTAAAAAAAAAAAACAAAAACAAAAATGATAAAAATAAATTTCTAAAAAAAAAAAAAAAGGAAAAAAATTCGCGGGTTACGAGTCATTGACTTTAATTGCATTTAAAAATTTCTTTTTCTATTTTCCTCCCTCTCCCCTCCCCCTTCTTCTTTCTTCCCTCTCTCCTCCCCCTTTAAAAAAAAAAGCAGGGAAAATTTAAACTAAAACTTTTAATTACGTTTTTTTTTTGTAAATCGTGATTTATAATTTAAAAAAAAAAAATTTTTTTTTTTCAAAGTTGTTTCAAAACATTTTTAAATATATGTACATGTATGTATATATATATATTCTTTTTAAACGAACGAACAATGAGAGAGAAAAAGAGAAAAAGAGAGAAAGAGAGAGAAAGAGAGAAGAACCAACGAGTTTGCCGCAAGGCTGGAGAAAAACACGATGATGGCGGACATTGAACTCGTTAAATTGAAGTGAATCGTTCGTTTCTTCCTCTTCATCATCATTCACTTTGTACTCGGAAGAAAATATAAGTGAGAGAGAGAGAGAGAGAGAGAAGAGAGAATGAATAAAATGAAAGAAAGAGAAAGAGAGAGAGAGAAGTAAAAATGCAAAGTAACACGAAATGAAAATCGTATAT